AGATGTGTAAAACGCTGCAGTTTTATACAGCATGACACTCGCCGAGAAAAAATTATTTGGTATCTATTGCCTATGGCATGGGAGCATTCAGACTAAGGAGCAGGCAAGGGCTTTTCACAAGTTCTACTAAATATCGCTCTGTTCATTACTTTAATTTCGAAGTTGCGATCTACAAGCTTTTTGAACATTTCTGTTAGCTTTATGAGAAAAACTGCTTGGGGGTTAGATATGCAAAAATAATGTAGGTATTCGTGGTCTAAGGCCATATAAAAAAATAATTGGTTAGCATCCCCTCCCTAACATCAGAGAGGCCACCAACCCGATTTTTTTTCTTTTTGTTTTCTTTACAGAACACTCACAAACTCCATTTAATATAGGTTTGTTTACCACCAGTCAGCACACTAGCCAGATCACTCATTTCTGATTATATTGATCAATTGTGCGTGATTATATAGAAATAACTGCATTATGACTCTCTTATGTTTCTGCTTGCTATAGATAAATTAAAAAAATTCCTGTATGCAATTTTAGTCTCTATTGTTTTCTCCTTTGTTTTGCTATTTTTCCATGCGACACTCTTTTTTCATGTTTGACGAGAGAAAAAAAACCTCTCTCCCTACCATGAAAATTGATAACCTAAGGATGCTAACCAATTTTTAAACTTTACATGGCCTAATGGTTATGATACTCTCCTTGATAGCGAGAGGTTGCAGGTTTAAATACCAGCAGAGACTCATTTTTTCATACAACTGATATAAGGGATCTTTTCGTTGATATATACTTGATATGATTATTACAACATGTTCCTATTTGAGAAATTTATTTATCTATTTGTCTATATGGTGTCATTAGGCTGGTTAAATTTTAACTTGACTCCTCGACTACAGCATTCACTCATCATATCATTCACAATTACACCAGATAAACTGCAACCACTCATGTTAAGAGTACTCAGTGTAGGAGCAATAACCAATAAAGATGCTAATAATGAACCATCAATGTTGCTGAGATTATTACCACTGATAACAAGCTTCATTAATTCTAACTTGACTCCTGCACTACAACACTCTCTCATCATATCATTCACAATTACACCTGATAAACTGCAACCACTCATGTTAAGAGTACTCAGTGTAGGAGCAATAACCAATAAAGATGCTAACAATGAACCATCAATGTTGCTGAGATTATTACCACTGATATCGAGCTCCATTAATTTTAACTTGACTCCTGCACTACAACACTCTCTCATCATATCATTCACAATTACACCTGATAAACTGCAACCACTCATGTCAAGAGTACTCAGTGTAGGAGCAATAACCAATAAAGATGCTAACAATGAACCGTCAATGTCACAGAGATTATTATCACTGATATGAAGCACCGCTAATTCTGTCTTGACTCCTTTACTACAGCACTCTCTCATCATATCATTCACAATTACACCTGATAAACTGCAACCACTCATGTCAAGAGTACTCAGTGTAGGAGCAATAACCAATAAAGATGCTAACAATGAACCGTCAATGTCACTGAGATTATTATCACTGATATGAAGCACCGCTAATTCTGTCTTGACTCCTTTACTACAGCACTCTCTCATCATATCATTCACAATTACACCTGATAAACTGCAACCACTCATGTTAAGAGTACTCAGTGTAGGAGCAATAACCAATAAAGATGCTAATAATGAACCATCAATGTTGCTGACATTATTACCACTGATATCAAGCTTCACTAATTCTAACTTGACTCCTGCTCTACAACACTCTCTCATCATATCATTCACAATTACACCTGATAAACTGCAACCACTCATGTCAAGAGTACTCAGAGTAGGAGAAATAACCAATAAAGATGCTAACAATGAACCATCAATGTTGCTGAGATTATTACCACTGATATCAAGCTGCATTAATTTTAATTTGACTCCTGCTCTACAACACTCTCTCATCATATCATTCACAATTACACCGGATAAACTGCAACCACTCATGTTAAGAGTACTCAGTGTAGGAGCAATAACAAATAAAGATGCTAATAATGAACCATCAATGTCACTGAGATTATTACCCCTAATATCAAGTTTCTTTAATTCTAACTTGACTCCTGCACTACAACACTCTCTCATCATATCATTCACAATTACACCTGATAAATTGCAATTTTTTAATGTAAGGTCACACAGTTTAACAGCAATAAGTAAAGATGCTAATAAGAAACCACTAATATTGAGGATATTACCACTGATATTAAGGTTAATTAAATTATTACCATTGGAAACACTATAACAATTGTAGAAATAGCATGATGAACTGCCATTCCTTATTGATAAATAGAAAAGTTCAGAAGCAATTCATAAAATGATACAATCAATGAACCATCAATGTCACTGAGATTATTACCAGTGATATCAAGCTTCAATAATTCTAACTTGACTCCTGCTCTACAACACTCTCTCATCATATCATTCACAATTACACCTGATAAACTGCAACCACTCATGTTAAGAATAAACTGTGGAGAAGCAATAACCAATAAAGATGCTAATAATGAACCATCAATGTCACTGAGATTATTACCACTGATATCAAGCTCTTTTAGTTCTAACTTCACTCCTGCACTACAACACTCTCTTATCATATCATTCACAGTTACACCAGATAAACTGCAACCACTCATGTCAAGAGTACTCAGAGTTGGATAAATAACCAATAAAGATGCTAATAATGAACCATCAATGTCACCGAGATTATTACCACTGATATCAAGCTTCTTTAATTTTAACTTCACTCCTGCACTACAATACTCTCTCATCATATCATTCACAGTTACACCTGATAAACTGCAACCACTCATGTAAAGAGTACTCAGAGTAGGAGAAATAACTAATAAAGATGCTAATAATGAACCATCAATGTCACCGAGATTATTACCACTGATATCAAGCTTCTTTAATTCTAACTTGACTCCTGCACTACAACACTCTCTTATCATATCATTCACAATTACACCTGATAAACTGCAACCACTCATGTCAAGAGTACTCAGAGTAGGAGAAATAACTAATAAAGATGCTAATAATGAACCATCAATGTCACCGAGATTATTATCTCTAATATAAAGCTCCTTTAATTCTAACTTGATTCTTCTACTACAACACTCTTTCATCACATCATTCATAATAGCACCTGTAATACAACATGGGGAGCAGTTCAATGAGTAAAGTTGTGGTGCAAAACTAAACAAATGAATTATAAAAGAAGCAGTACTTAAGCTATGCAATTCAAATTGTGTTATATCATATTTGAAATTCAGTTTTTGACATTCTTCTGTTAGGCATTTAATATCATCACCACATATTTTACTTGCTATATGCAAAATATCACTTTGATCTGATACAGCAATCATTATGTGGGCAATCATTTTGCATTTTTCTTCAGATGACATTTCCTTACCAGAATAGGTTTCCAACCAAGACTCGAAATTATCTCTACCAATTTGTCCAGAAAACTTTGAACTTGTACTGAAAATTTGCATAATTTGAAGAAAATTTTCAATTTGATTGACCTTTACATCAGATATGAAGTGATGGATAACTTTTCTTAGTGATTCACATATGTCATTTATGTGTGGCATTATTTCTAAATTTTTCTTAGTCATTTCATCAAATAGTTCCTTTACTACAGTACACCTGTGCTCTATTTTCACAAATTTAAAATGTAGCCTTAAAGAGCGATATGTTGATGGATTGTTTGTTATCCAGTGATTAAAAAACATGCCAGCACCAGTACCTAGAAATCCAATTGCAAACACTCTTGCATTTTGCAAGTGTGTATTTTCTCTTATAATCTTCCATTCATTATCATCCAATTGCTGAAGTAACCTTTTCATGCCTACTGAGCACTCACTCTCCAATCCTGCTGCCTGACATAGTTTGCATAAGTAAAATCCTACCAATGACTCTACTATTAATTTGTGAGGAGCTGTAAAAATCTCTTCAAAATCAGACTTTAGGTTCGGTGTATCTTTGTACACAAATCCCAGTTTTAAAGCTAAGGCAACCATTTCTTCTCTTCCTTCCATTTCTGCTTTGTTTATTGAAAGTTGATTTCGTTTTAAGCCATTATACATACACTTCCCTAACAGCAGCATCGGTTCAACATACTTCTGTGGAATATTTTTGAATACTGAGATTTTTTGCTCCTTATCTGCTTGTTTTTCAATGAACTGATTCAAGATGGTTCTAAAAATCTCTTTAAAGAGATCAGCTTTATCAGCTGGAAGGTGTTGCCTTTCTTCCCACATAATACATACTGATAGAAGCAACATTGGATTTTTACACATTTCTTTGACGTCCACATGTTTATATTTAAATCCTGAAATCAGCTCCAACTCATCCAAAAGTGAGTCTCCTAATGCAGGTTCTTTAAAATACTCAAAATGTTTCTTAATATAATTTCTTACATTAACTTCACTGAATCCCTTCACTTTCACATGTATGCTACTCTCTTTAACAAACTCATCTATATTTTCAGATCTTGTTGTAAGTATTACTTTGCATTTAAGCATTTTTTCTTTTTTGAATAAGCATATTGGACTCTTACTACCCTCTTTCAATTCATCTAATCCATCTAATAACAATACAATGTCATTATCGTGATTCCTAATAAATCGTTTAACCAATACAGGATCTTGAGAAAGATTTGTTTCAAGATAAAAATCCTCTATGTCTATTTGTTTTAAAATACCATCCAAAAAGGTTTCACTTTTGTCAATAGTGGATATTTTGACAAGAAAGACTATTTTACCTTTGAAGGTTTTGTCTGATTCTGTGGCCCAATTGTATGCTATATACCGGAGAAGGGTTGATTTGCCAATACCACCCTCACCTTCTATTAAAACTTTACATGCAGGTGTGGATTTTATAATATTTAAAACCTCGTTCAAAGTTGTAGGCTTGACATCTTGCTTCTTTTCATTTTCTTTGAGTAGATCCAGATCAGTGAACATGTGGGCAATGTCTACTTTGTATCTAGTATTCAAAGTTGCTGGTGTGAACTGGATGGCATTGCAGCACAATTGCTGTTGAGTTCTTAGTAGATAGTTTTTAATAACCTCGTCTGAAAAAAAATTAATTATTTTTCATAAAGAACTGTCTTCAAATGGAGAACACTGTACGGCAGGATCAAGAATACAAGTCACATATAATGGCCTGAATATTAATATTATTACTTCTATCTTAATTAATTAGTAATAATACTAACATTGAATGCTTTCAATACCAACAAACATATATTAGAGTGCTTTCAAAATTACATAAAAATAAATATATTGCAAGTATTTATTGTATACATTGTTACAAAATTGTTACAACTAATAATATTAGTACTGTATTTATATTCAATTAATCAAAATTAGCATTATGTATCAATGGTAAAGCTACAGTAATCATATGTACAACATGTGGTCTTGGAGCTGAAGGAGCCATTATTTACTCTCAAAAAACTGTCTAAAGCTTGCAGGGCAGAGGGCAATTGTTGATGGAAATAATGGCCCATATTTTCTATAAGGCCCAAAATATCTTGACTATAATTGCTTCATAAGTCAGTAACCCTGTTTCATATACTGTGCAGTATATGTAGGCTATATATATTCAAATTGCTGGTTATGGTGACCGGTTGCTCAGTGAACAATACATTAACTACGCGAATGGGAATGCTTTCCTAGAAGTACGCGCACTGACACTCTTTACTGCTCTTTGCGATACAATACAAATAAATTGATTGTGGTTGATAAAGTTGATTTAGGTGTTAGGTAGGCCTAGCCTTTTGGTAGGCATTTGTTAAATAGATTATAAGTCAATCACCTCGCCAAGGTAGGTGATTTAGGCTTTGTTCATGTCAACCAGCACCGTAAAACAAGATTTTTGACATTCTCTGTGCAAGTTTAGAGCTTGGCCTAGCAAAGAAATATTTATCACAATGTAAAACAACCCCAGATTTGAAGTTTCAAATTTAAAAAAAAAACTGAATTAGTGCCTATTGCCTAGTTTGAGATAGGAAAATTATATGCAAATGTAAGTGATGATGTCACAACTGACTCATATTTTGTGCATGTAAATATACCATACAATTTGAGATCACACTTAAGCTCTACTGTATAAAAATATTCATGTAGGTTTTATTTTGTAATTTACTAATTTAATGTTTTGTCTATAAATCAAATGGGGTGAAATAAACCAGCTGTGAACATGAAAGATTTTCACAGGGTCTAGGGCATGCTAAATCTGGGTAAAACTGACATTTTCTGTGGCTTTAAGTAATTTTTAACATTTATGATTCTGGGCTCCAGACTTTTGTCATGGTGATTTTGTTGCTTTCGGGGCCCCAAAACACTTGTTTGAATAAAAAAAATGAAATGATTAGATACTATTTGCCATTAATGTTTGCGATTGTTATCTTATCGGCAAAAACAAAGGCAAAGGTACGAAGTTTTACATTAAATTAATCTACAGTAGCTGTGGAAGTGGAGGATTGTTAACACCTTGAGATAATCTGTTGGTTGTATAATGTGCTATATAAAAAATTGTTAACAAAGAGAACTGTTCACCCCTGCAAATACATTAAATAATTTGAGCACTTTTGTACCTTGACTTGGTAGTTGTTGATGTGTGCTTGATTGCAATCTATCGCCATTACCTGCAAAAATATATTCATTAATAAACAATTAAGGTACATTTTGTATATTAAACTACAATTTACTGTAGTGACACACTACATATTATGCTCATGTTTCATTTTACTTTTAATGCTGTTAAAGCTCGGTTTCCATACAATTGCTGCACAGTCGCTACAGCTTTTTCTCTGCAATCCTTGCACTGCCTAGCTGTCCCCAACGCAATCGGAAACGCTCTCAGATTCCACTGACCAATCAGCGTCGGCATAGGAGTAAGTCATAGCGTGTAGCGATTTGTATGGAAACCAGCTTCACAAATGCATGGCTATTGTACTTATGAAAATAAAGACAATGCATGATATAAACAATAAAAATATACAGATACATTTTAAACAATCATATATCATGTTATTGTACTTTGACTTGAACCAAAGTATCATATTAGGATTGAAAAATCAATACTATTTGTTAGGAAATAAAGTAAGCACAGATAAGCTTATGATTTGAAATATGCCTATATTGTGAGGGCAACCTATCTAACTCTGGACAACCGAAAATATACTGAAATACAATTTGAATATTTCATTGAATTTTTTAATGAATTTTTACATTCATAACTGGTACACTATCCAAGGATCACAACTATTTTCTACCAAACAGTTTTTAACCAAATATTATAAGTTTTCAAAAAAGCTTCAATATCTTAATTTATTAAAGATGCTGGGCAAGTTGAGTAACTATAAATTTGTCTTCTGATTGGAGGGAATTCTTTTCAATTTCAGAAGTATTGGCAGTCAAAGTTGAATGCATTCGCATATATTATTATATTGTTGATTTCAGAAGTTCACCTTTATCTTTGATTCTACAACTGTACATATTTGATTTTTCAAAATGCGAAAAATGTTTGTCATATGTCATATTTTGTATATTAGGCAAAGAATTTAACTAATATTATAAAAAACTTTGGTTAATATGTGAAATATTTTAGAAGTGGTGGTGATGGTAAATCCAATGAAATTCAGCGGCAGACCATCAAGGGGCGCAAGCAATGGCAATTTAAAGCCTAAATGCAGACTTGGTCTTAATGGATCGTATCGAAAAAGGAGGATTACTACAGTGAATTTGGGAATGGCCTTATAAAGCTCGATATCCACAAATTGTCTAAAAATCTTCTTAAATTAGGGGTACTTTATTTTTAAAAAATTATTTGACCATTGCATAGAACTATGTAAAAAGTGTACAAAGAACATATATATGAAAAAAAAATTATATTTTTATTATTATTATTTTTATTATTATCATTATTAATTATCATTTATTACTATTATGTCCACTAGGAGATATATGTTTTCAGTCGTGCAAGTTTGTGTGTGTGCGTGTGTGTGTGGTGTGTGTAGGTTGTTTTGTTGTTTTCATGTGGTTTTGTTTTTGTGTGCGACATCTCAAAAAACGGCTGCACACACATAATAATACTGTAATAATATTAATAAAAACTTTACTTAACTACGGTAACACTTGTTCACCGCAATGGTGTTTTTCAACAAGGCATTGTACAACTCAACAAAACAGAAATTAAAACAAGGTAACAGCAGAAAATCACATTTAAGGCCTAACTGAAAGAAACTTAACTACATTAACTAAACTGAATTATCGTAAATAAACTTACATCATTAACTCTAATACTTTAATGGATTTTTAATTTCATTTTAAAAATGGAAAACGTATTTGAGTTTTTGAGGTCATCACTAAGTTAATTCCATAATTTAGCACTTCTGTATGATAAGCTATGTTTTTATAATGTGCTCTTGATTTGGGATTGGTGTCATAGGGACATTCTTTACTATGGAATCTGCTTGTTAGGTAAGTTGGTGCTAAATTATTGGTAATTTTGAACATAGTGATGGATGGCCTCATTCTGATACAGCCTCCTCTCAAGGTTATCTAAGTTAAGGCTCTGTAAGGCTTCCCTGCTAGACTCACTCCTAGTCCTGGTTATTATTTTGGAAGCTCTGTTTTGCATAACCTGAAGTTTTCAACTTTGAGATGCATTTGAGTTCCCCCAGACAACATGGCAGTATTCAAAATAGGGAGCAATTACTGATTTATACATTAGCCTGGTTCACGTCGAACTTTATCTAGATATACCGTCTTGAAACATGATACGATAATCCCCTAATTGCGTTCCATGCCAAGTTAGAGCCAGATAAACAGCCAGCCAGTTTCAGGCCGTCGACATCACATGGTGGAAAGGCTTGTTTAATAAAACATCTACTGTATTTTACGAACCTCTAGTACCAAGTGGTATTCGTTCAAAAAAAATTGTAAACTACTGTAGAGAAGGTGTGAGTTTCCACTGCCTAACCTAGCCGACCAGTATGAACCAACGACTAGTGCAGCAGCGTGTTCTATCGCAATCTAAGTGGTAGATTCTCTAGGCCCTGGCCCTAGCTACATTTACCTTTGATAAAAATGAATTATTTTAATCGCTAGCAAGCATTCTTCCATTTAACAAAATATTGTTTTAATTTTCATTAAAACGTATGTATACTTTATGGACCTTTCTGTCCTGTTTTGTAGTTTTTAGATCGCTCAATTGTGTTGTTAACATGCACTTCGCGAAAATCTAGCTTCGCGGTGCCAAATAAGTTGCTGACTTCCACACATTTTTTTATTTCGTCATCGTAAACATATGCACTCATTTTAACGACTGGCGTTGGTGGTAGTTCGTTGAAATTGAATTAATAGCGACTATTATAGCAGAAATAGAAAAGATTGACTTAAGTGACTTAATTCCTTTAACTAGCTATAATTGAGTGGTTCACGTCGAACTTTTAACTAATTAAGTGGATGTATATCTAGATAAAAGTTCGACGTGAACCAAGCTATTGTGCATTGAATATCTTTTGGTAAAATAAAATTTGCTTTTTTCAGGTAGTATAGTCCTTGCAGTGCCCTGCCTTTTACATATTTGGTATGGTATTCAGTTACATAAACCTGCATCATCTGCATACTAAGAAACTTCACAATTTTGGATATCTTGAGGCAAATCATTTATGTACAGTAGAAATAATGGCCCAAGAATAGACCCCTGTGGGATACCACAGACAATTTTACATTTGCTTGAGGAAACACCAATGACACTTGTAATATGATTTCTATCAAGCAAGTAGTGCTTAAACCAGTTTATAACATTTTCATGAAGGTTAAATGATTGTAGTTTTTTAAGTAGAAGCTCATGGTTGACAGTGTCAAATGCTTTTTTAAATCGATCATTACAAGGCCAACTTCCCCTTATCAATAGATTCAAGCAAGTCTTCTGTCAGATTAGGAAGAGCAAAAGTAGTAGAGTATCCTGGTCTGAAACCTGATTGATGTTCATATAACATGCTATGAGAATGTATATAGAGATAAATTTGTTTGAAGACTACTCTTTCAAGAATCTTAGGTAGGACAGGGAGAATTGAAAAAGGTTTGTAGTTGCTTTTTTTCTGTTTTGTCACCACCTTTGTGGATGGGACATATTTTAGCACTTTTCCATTTAGCAGGGAATGTTTATGTAAATAGAGATAAATTTATTAAATAGGGGAGTGGATATACCATATTGAATCTTTTGCCAGGTTTATGAGGCAGGCAGCAATCATGTCATTTCCAGTAGCTTTTTTGATTGAGACAGAACTTAGTGAATTATAAATATATTCATAGCCAACTTCTTTAAAATTACATTTTTCAGTATTTAAATCATTTATGATCTGTTGAGATTCATCAATGACTTCAGGAATGTTTTTTGCTAAGTTTGGACCCACATTAGAAAAATATTCATTGAGCGCATTAGCAATATCAGTAGAATTTGAATATGTGGCATATTCAGTTTTGAGATTTGTTATCAGTATTTTTACTTTTACCGGGAACAATGAGTCTTATGTTTTCCCAGATCTTTTTAGGCTTTTTGGTATTAAGCTGATCTGAAAAATATTCTTTTTTGCAAATTGTTTAAGTTTAGAATTAACTTATTAATTAAGTTTTGTATGTACTAACTTCACTTTTTCTTCCAGAACTGATTGAAATTATTTTTTAAGCATCTTTACATTTGAACATGTGATGCTAAAAACCAAATCCCCATATTTGTATTTGCATAATATTTCCATTTCAACACCAATATATGGCATGTATTTTTTTCTTTAGCTTTAAGAGTGATACATGCAGGTGTGTTAAGCTAGAAATGTAAGGAATTGGCAGGTGTACAACTGATACAATAAAAGGCTGTCTCTTATACACATCTAGATGTGTATAAGAGACAGTCATTAACATTATTAGACTTTTAGATTTTAAAAATTACCATTATTATCGGACTCCAATTATTATTATTATTATCATCTCCGCCAGGAGATGTACTGTACGTTTTCAATCGTGGAAGTTTTTTGTGTGTGTGTGTGTCAGTCACGTTCTGAGTGTTTTTGTGTGGTTTTTTTTTATTTAAAAATTATCTAAAAAACGTAAAAACGGATATTAGAACCATTTAAAGGAAAATGTCCCAGACCAGATATTTAAAAAAATAATCAACTTTAATATCTGAATAAACTTTTGTAAAAGTTTAACCTAGTTAAAAGGAAGAAACTATTAAATGTTGGTGATGATCCCAATTCGGGTGTGAATTTGAGATTCATTTAAAATCCCAAGATCCCAGATCTAAATATCTCCAAAAATAATCAATGGATCTAAATGACACTACCCAGATTCTGTCTCTTATACACATCTAGATGTGTATAAGAGACAGCTTCAAGGCAATGCAATAATAACTGGTTATAACATTAATAACAAGAATAATAGTAATAAACAAGTGAAAGAATAATAAGAATAATACTCAGCGCTTATAACATGGCTAACACGAACACAGCTCTTATAACG